CCTCCCAGAAGTCTCTCCTGTGGTTCCTTCATTCTGCTAAATGGTTAGTGAGCATCAAGCACATGCTGAACTGGGGACAGACAGTGAGCTGATACACATGGACTCTGACCTCCAAGAAGACAGATAAGCTAGCGAAAGTCACTATACAGTGTGAAAACTGCTAGAATGAAGAAAGGAAAGGACAAGGAGAGTCTCCTAGAGAGACACCTTTTTCAAAATAAAAGGGAGGGGCTGGGCACAATGTCTCACGCCTGTATTCTAGCGGTGGTGAGATTACTTGAGGTCAGGAGTTTGAAACCAGCCTGGCCAACATGGTGAAACACCGTCTCTACTAAAAATACAAAAATTGGGCATGGTGGCATGTGCCTGTAGTACCAGCTACTCAGAACACTGACGCAGGAGAATCGCTTGAACCCAGAGGCAGAAGTTGCAGTGAGCAGAGATCACACTATTGTACTTCAGCCTGGGTGACAAGAGCGAAACTCCGTCTCAGATAAAAAGCTTTTTAAAAAACTAGTTTTAAAACATAAATCATTTTTATTGAAGTGTATTATATCATGCCCATAGTATTTAATTATTAAATTTGACTTTTATTTAAAAAAAAAGTATCACACTTAGATAAGCATATATAAGTAGAACATACATGGAGCTTATATTGTTGCAGGAATCAGGAGGATGAGAGACCTCAGGGAAAAGCAGGAGGATCTTTACTGAGTGCACTCAGACCCAGTGGATTAACATCCAAAAACTGGGCCTAAAACAAAGACAGGTCTTGGCTTTTATATACACTTCAAAAAGGCGGTGTGCTAGCTTGAACCAGGCTTACAGTGGCATGAAAGCAAGGATAGAGAGGCAGAACAACAGCAGTTAAACAAATTGTAACAGGTGAATCACTCAGGATTATACATGACCATTGCCAAGCAACCCACATGGCCGTTACCTAGGTTTTGCTCAAGAGCCTTGCACTGATTTCTCTCATGACCTTCACTGTGGTGCCCAGACGGCTATAGTTCAGGCCTGCTCAGGCTTCTCATGACCTTCACTCCCCTGATTAGATAAAACAATACTTGAAGTCACTAGTTGCAGAGAACAGGAATCTATAAACTCATACCATAAGAGAAAGGAAAATTTGTTTTTCTTCTCCCTATGTTAAGGGAGTGCTGGGAGAGTCTCCAGACTCCAGACAAACATTCCTTTGTGTCCTGGCTTCTTAGATAGTATTATCAAGACTTTTCCTGGGTCTGGGCTGTGCCTGTTGCTGCCTCTGGGATAAGTCAGCCTAATACAGGAAAGCTTATTTCTTTTTCTTTTTAATTTTATTTTTCTTTCTTTAATTTCCCACCTCAATATAGTAATTATATTTCTTTTTCTCTTTTTTCTTACACATTCTTAAATACAAGTCATTTGTTTCTATAGGAGATATTCTCAAAGTGGGATGTGCATCTACGTCATGAAGCATAACAATTAAATAACATCCATACACCCATCACCTCATGCATAATGAAATATTTCTAGTCCTGTCGAAGCTACAGGACTGCTGGAATTTCTTCTCTGATTCGGTCCCCTTGCTTCACCACAGAGGTGACTACTCTTCTGAAGGTTATATTCATAACCCCTGTGCTTTTCTTTATAGTCTACATATATATCTATGTATAGAGAGGGGAGGTGTAGGTATAAATATACACATATCTAAAAATATATTATTTTGTCATATTTATTTTTAAGCTTTATAAAAATGGGTATCATGCTGAAGTGGTATTTACCTTGAAGCACACTGTGATCAAAAAAAAAAAAAAAAAAAAAAAACCGCCATCACGTCCAGTGGTATAAGCATGGCTCACATAGCTCATTCTGGTGGCAGGAAGAGTTCAAGACTAGCTCTATAAAAAATGGGACCAGGAGTTCAAGACAAGCTCTACAAAAAATGAGACCCAGTCCCTACAAAAAAATTTAAAAATTAGCCAGGCACAGTAGCATATGCCTGTAGTCCCAGCTACTCAGGAGGCTAGGGGAGGATAATTGTGTGAGTACAGGAATTCAAGGCTGCAGTGAGTTGTGATCAGACTACATCACTCCAGCCTAAGTGACAGAACGAGACCCTATCTTAAAGGACAGAAAAAGGCAGAGAGGCAAAGATGACTGATTCAGAGCTGCTGCGGTCCATGGCTCTTATGGAAAAGAATGAAAACAGTGAGTGAATTCAGCACCTTCAACTGAAATATCCAGGTTCTCACATTGGGACTGACTAGGGAGATGGCTTGACCCACAGAGAATGAAGAAAAGCAGGGTGGGGCGATGGCCCACCTGGGAGCAGCATGGAGTCAAAGGAATCCTATCATGGTTAATACTGACTGTCTACTTTATTGGATTGAGGGATACAAAGTATTAATCCTGGGTGTGTCTGTGTGCATGCTGCCAAAAGAGATTAACATTTGAGTCAGTGGGCTGGGGAAGTCAGATCCACCCTTAATCTTGTGGTCACAATCTAATCAGCTTCCAGCAAATATAAAGCAGGCAGAAAAACAGGAAAAGGCCAGATTAGCCTAGCCTCCCAGCCTACATCTTTCTCCCATGCTGGATGCTTCCTGCCGTTGAATGTTAGACTCCAAGTTCTTCAGTTTTGAGACTTGGACTGGCTTTCCTTGCTCCTCAGCTTGCAGACAGCCTAATATAGGACCTTGTGATTGTGTAAGTTAATACTTAATAAACTCATATATGTGTGCGTGTGTGTGTGTGTATATATATATATATATATATATATAGTGAAACTTTCTATTCTGTTTTGTCTTAATTACTGATGCATGCAGCCCCAGCCTGTACCCCATGCTTGCTCAATTGATCACAACCCTTTCAGGTAGACCCCCTTAGAATTGTAAGCCCTTAAAAGGGACAGGAATTTCTCTCTTGGGGAGCTTGGTTTTTGAGAGGCAAGTCTGCTGATGCTCTTGGCCAAATAAATCTACTTCCTTCCTCAACCTGGTATCTGAGGGGTTTTGTCCATGGCTCATCCTGCTACAGATCCAACTCTATGTTCCTGCCACCACTATCCCATACCCTTAATATCCATTCCCATGCCTGTTCTCCAGATTGCTGTTTATATAAATTAGAGAACTCAAACAGTTCAAGTATAGCACACCTCCTCATGGGTCACTCTCAACCTCATCCTTAGAGGCCCACCAGGACTTTAGTTATAGGTTTAGATGCAAACAGAGGTGTTGAGGGTGGCCTCTGAGGAGACTCAACATTATCTTGCCTGGCAACTGGCTCAGGGGAGGCCGTCACTGTTGCTGCAGGCAGCATAGGGTTCTATTATATATATAATAGAAAATACATATATTTTCTATTCTGTCCCTCTAAGAGAACCCTAATACAGATTAGATTCTGGTACTGGGAGTATGGTTCTAGAGGAACAGAATATAAAGGATGGAGTTCTTTTGTTGGTTTGGGGGTCTCCGGGGTTGGCTGATTAATATAATTAGACCCAAAAATGCTAAGGTCTCTACTTCTAATAGTATGGAGAACACTGATAGTTTTTGGCAGAAACTGTTTAGAGAGTTATACAAAATAAATGCATTTAATTCTCCTGATTCACCACTCGTGAGAGGCAAGGAGTTTAGTGACTCTATACGTATCTTTGACCATATGTGGAGAATCAAGGAACATAATGAAGCTGGTTGGTTGCTCCTAAGTTCAGCAGACAAAGTGACAAAAGACAATGATGAACTCAAGGATTCTGTCTCCTGGGTTCAGAAGCAGATAGGCAGCCTCAAATCTGCTAAGACTGCCCTGAATGAGAGTCTTATCTCCTGTAGAGAAAGAGCTGAAATTGTGGAAAAACAGACCCAAGCTCTTACACAAGTGGCTGACCAGCAATGAAAGATGCATGCACAGCCTCACCAAGTGTCTACTGTTAAAGTGAGGACA